GGCAAGCGCTGCTGCGGCAGGCGAGGGTGCTGCCCAGAGACAGCCCGAGCTCCTCACCAATACATCTCCCGTTCCTGGGCTGGTAGCCATCCCCACAGCTGACACACTTGTAGGATCCCAGTGTATTGACACACTTCCCACTGCGGCAAGGGCTGGGATCCACACACTCGTTGACATCTGCCAAGAAACACACTCCTTTCAGGCTCCCAAAGGTGAACAGTGCAGCCTTCTCCAGGATGCCCCCTCCAGCCAGATCCTCAGAGGCCCCTCCGGGGGACAGCTATGCCCAAGAGGAGGTGAGACAAGCCTACCACGGCTTGCGCAACACTTCTTATAGTCCCATTTATCACTCAAGATCCTACACCCACACCTGAGGGCTGACGTAATCCAGCAGCAAAACTCACTGCCGCAGGATGCTGCCAAGGCCAGGAATGTTCATGGGCAGAGAAAGGGATCAGAGAACATCTGTGCAGGGCTTTTTCATCAGGGACTTTCATAACTATGATTAGGATGCAGCCTCCAGCTCAGGAAGTCCTTAAGGCACGGGCTTTCTGGAGGCCGTGCAGGGGGAGCAGCATTCTGTGCATGCCCCGTTTCCCGTACTGCCTCCTAAAATAGTCTCCCACTCTCTGTTGGAGATGAGCTACTGAGATAGGGGGATCTTTGATCAGGCACATCGTATGTTCACAAGGTCGAATACTCTGAAGGGGCCAGGTCGTGCCATGTAAGCGGGATGCTGTGGGGACAGGTGGCCTGAGTTTCTGCAGCCTGGTCTCCCTGCAGTCCGCTTGCCGGCACGAGGGTCTGGTGACAGAGTCAAGGTGGCATGAAAATGGACAGACATCTCCTCCCAGAATGGGAAGCTGGCGTGGGCTGGTCGTGGGGGATCTCCCTGGGGAGGTGGGAGAGGATCTTGGGAGCACACCTCTCTCTCTCTCTGCCCAGGAAAGCCTGTCCTCTCCTGCAGAGGAGAGGACACACAACCCTCCATGGGGGGGAGGAGCACAAGGCAGACAAACTTGGGGGGGGTCCTTCCTCCCTTCCAGGAGAAGACACGGAGTGGTGAGGAAAGGTGTTCAGCCCTGCACAGGGTGGGTTGGAGGGGCAGGGGAACAGGGAGCAGCAAGCTTCACCTTCACACTGTCCTCTGGGGCCCATGGCAAAGCCCTCGTTGCACTCGCAGCGGTAGGAGCCAGGGGTGTTGATGCATCGCTGTCCTCGGCACGTCGAGGGCTGCTCACATTCATCTCGATCTGGCAGCGGACAGGGAGACAGTCCTGAAGTCTTCCCCCTCCAGCATGGGGAAGGCTGGGTGCAGGAGAGGAGCTGCCAGGGGGACCCGTGCCAGGCCTCTCCTCCATCACCCATCTGTCTTTGCACCCCCCTTGCCACGAAGCAGTCATCAGGGCTGGCATCACAGGCTCCTGCCCAGGTCACCACAGGCAAGGTCCTGTCCCTGAGCGAGCAGGAGAGGGTGGTCCCCATGGATCAGGCTGCTTGCGGGCAGGCCTGCAGGGAGGGAGGGTGGACAGGCGTGCACATGTGCGTGCACTCTATGCGCACTGTGTGCATGAACCCATGTGTGTGTGCATGTGCATGGGAGAGTGCGAGGGTGGGAGACGGGTGACCCTGGGGAGGGGGCAGCCCTGTGCCAGGCAGACACCACCTACCCTCACAGCTCTGCTTGCCCTCGGAGACAGCCAGGGTGTACCCAGAGTAGCAGAGGCACAAATAGGAGCCCACGCTGTTGATGCAGCGACCTCTTCCAGCACAAGGGTCTTTCAGGCACTCATCTTCATCTGTGCCCAGGCAAGGAAGGAGACAGTCAGCAACCGCAGCTGCCTGCCAGCCCCCTGCCAGCCCCACGGTGCCACAGGCAGGCAGGGGCTCAGCAGAGCTGCCAGAAAACCTTACCCCAGAGCCTGAAGGGCTGAACGGTCTGTCAAGGCCCAGCAGGCAGAAGAGATGCCAACCTACCAATGCAGCGGAGGCGGCTGGGGTCCAACGTGTAGCCAGGGTGGCACAAGCAGCTGTATCCCTCAGAGGTGAGCACGCAAGCACCAGCTCCGCAGGAGAAGGGTGAAGAAGCACAGGTGCTGACACCTGGGAGGAGAGAGCAGGGGGTTGGGGGCAGCACTGAAAGGGTGTCCGGTGTCCAGCATCGGCCTTGTGTCCCCCGCACCATGCCTGGGGAGGCTG